GTGTGTGTGTGTGTGTGTGTGTGTGTGTGTGTGTGTGTGTGTGTGTGCGTATGAGTGTATGTGATTTAGCGATTGAGAGAAAAAGTGAGTGTGCGTGTCTATTAGCATAGGGAAGGTAGGGGGGTACTCACCTCTACCATAGATTTTCTTCCCATCCATCTACAGCAAATGTAATTACAAAGACGTTATGGGCTGTATTCTCAGATTTCTCTTTGAATTGTTTTTCCCCCATGCCTCTCCATGCATCCCAAGCCAAATTTACATCATTTCACATATAACATGTCCATAACAGCTGGCGAGACACACGGGTGGGGATGCCAGACCGACTTCCGACCTTCCACCCTAATGCAGGCTAACAAAGGAGCTTGATGTCATGTTGCTGGGCAACTGGCGAGGAGAATCTGCAGAATCACTCTTGATTTACTGGTCATTAAAGTAGGAAATATGTAACCCCACCTTTTGGAGCTGTGTGCTGGTTTCAGTCGTAGCCTACATTTCAAGTACATTGGCTCTCTTACATCAGTTGGCGTTAGAGGCTAAGATTATTGTTTACAGAATAAAAATCTTTTCTATTTTTCAAATAGCAAATAGTTGTTTTTTCAGAATGTTCCATACAGCTCCTTTAAAGCCAACAATGACTACTTAGAGTCATTTATAATCTTATATGAAATCATAACAGTGATTATAACGCATTGTAAAAATATTATAATAATGTATAACAACTATGGGAGTTAGATCCTTGGAAAAAAAAGTCAGTGAGTGACCAGCAATTATGAAGTACTTTGCTTGACTGTATACGTCATTATGAACTGCCTGATCATTTTAAATTTTTACATAGCACTATACATATTTAGGATTTTTTTAAACTATAATCATACAGTGCTATAAGCAGATTATAATGCATTATAAGTATGTAATGCATTATAGACACGAAAGTGTTACACAAAGATTTATCCTCAATTGTTCTGCTGACTGGCTTCTTATGAAGACATGTGAGCTATCAAGTATAGTGAGTGAGGCGCAAACTGATAATCACATCATTGTGAGACAGTATGGAAGGAATTATCAGCACTTTGCCATCAGTCTCTTGTTTACTGCCCTCAGGATTCAGCAGCCACAATAGGTAAAAGCGATGTTGGACTGTGATGACTTTTTGGACTGTTATTAATAATTAATAAAATGTTCCACCCACTAATGATGCTAATAGTTTCCGGCAGGAGCCATAAAGCGTACTCAGAAACCAGATTCTTTCTTCTTGTACAAATGTTTGCGAAAACTAAACTGAAATAAAAATATCAGAAGCCTGTACACATTTTCAGTTCAGAAGCTTCCTTCTTGGTTAAGATTTTGAGGAACATTTTACACACAATGTTTTTTCTTGTCACTCAATATGAATTGCTTAAAGTCACACATTCATAAGTGCTTTTAATATCCCAAAGAAAGAGCAATATAAGTTGAACCATTTACAGTTTGAGTGCTCATTTTGCACACTGATAACTAGCATTTTACAGGTTCTGAATTGACACTAATGCTGATTGTGGTTTGGTAGCTATTAGCAATGTCATTAAGCTTATTGAAACTGTAAAAGCTGATGTCTCTGATTGTGGTGAGCACTTTAGATCCATTTTTTTCAAATTGAATCCTCCCTCTCAACTGAAAGTTATCCCAACAGTCAGATCATTACTCATTAGTTTCATCCAAAGAAATAAACACTTTCTGTAGGTGTGCTCTGGTAATCTCTAATAAGACTTTTAGACTTTTCAACGATCGTTAGGAACACCTAAACACAGCATTGAACCCAAAAATTTGGTCTTTGAACAAAAATCTCTGAAACATGAATTAATCTCTCAGGATATTGTGTCACCTGACACATTTTCATTCATGCATATCAGGGAGGAGGAGGCCGTTTTTGACAGTACATTTTGAATGCATGTAGATTCGTGTGCTTAAAGATGTTAATTATTGCACATTCAGAATTGTCAGACAAAGCTGGGAGAAGCTAGACAGGCTAATGTTCATGTAGAACAGGGGTGTCAAACTAATTTTCACTCCGGGCCATGGTTTCCCTCAAAGGGCCGGTTGTAACTGTAAGACTGTATAACTATAACTACTCCTAACATATTGTTAAATAACTGTCTCTGCTTTTGATTGTTGTTTATTCAAGTGTAAAAATATTGTACATGCAGTTATATAAATGACATTTCTGTTATTATAACATAAATTATTTTAATTTAGGGTTAAGAAACCCACATTACTCTATCAAAGATCAAACTTTTAAAGAAAATAACAAACACAAGTTATTACATTAACTTTGTTCAAAGCTATTTTTGTCACCTCTCTGCATCACTAATGTCCCGCCCTGCCGTCGTCCCGTTCATGGCAGCTACATCCAAGAGCTCCTCACTGAGAGTCAAGTCTGCCTTGAGCCTCTTACAAACATTGATAGATGATGTATCTCGTCTCTTAGCTAGCTGTGTTGTTAGATTGCTGCTAGTTCCTGAACTCGGTCTGCGATGGTGTTTCTTCACAAACTAACATTTTAATTCTTGGACAATTTTATGTTTTTCTTGGAGGCTAAATTTAGCTCCGTGTTTGGTGTCAAAATGCCAACGTGAATTGTATCCTTCATCACCGACACGCATCATAGCACAGAAGACAGACCCGTTTTTCTCCTTGAAGCACAGACATGTATTCGCTTTCCCATCTTAAATTACATCTTCTTCCCTCTGCATCAATTTTTCTCTTCGTGGACATTTTGGGATTACTTGTTGGAAACCCGCTTTACGGGCTGTTGCCTCTCCTGTCCACCTGTTGTGATAGTTTTAATGTCGGTACACAGACAACATGCTATCTCATAATTTCAACTTTCTATCTCATAATTTCGACCATGGGGATACTTTTATTTTCAAGTCTAACTTTTAATTTTTTTTCCAAAATTAAAACAAATAAGCTTTTTTTTGTTTTTGTTTTTTTGCTGGCGGATTCGCGGGCCAAATAAAATGACGTGGCGGGCCGGATTCGGCCCGCGGGCCTTGAGTTTGACACCTGTGATGTAGAATATGTAAAGGTAAAACACATCTGTTTGTGGAAAAAGAATAAGAAGCATGCGGGAAAAAATAAATAA